GACATCAAAAGAGACTTAGTACACTGGTATGGAGCTGTTCACTTGTACTCGTGCATTAACCTGGATCAGATGGACATCAAAAGAGACTTAGTACACTGCTATGGAGCTGTTCACTTGTACTCGTGCATTAACCTGGATCAGATGGACATCAAAAGACTCGAGAATGCTTTATTTAGTACACACGGTTCATTCTTCTATTTTTTTCTATTGAAAAATACCTTTTAACAACATTCTTGTGAATTATTATATGTGTCCAACTAACGATTTGTATACCTTTCCTGTAATATGATATTAGTACAGGGTGACCCAAAACTTAATTGCTTCATACCAGTTTACTAAGTCTCTTTTGATGTCCATCTGATCCAGGTTAATGCACGAGTACAACTGAACAGCTCCATAGCAGTGTACTAAGAAAAAGCTACAAGTTTTCTGTATATTACATGTCTGCCAAGTGTAAAAAGCTACAAGTTTTACACTTGGCAGATATGTGATATACAGAAAAAGCTACAAGTTTTACACTTGGCAGATATGTGATATACAGAAAAAGCTACAAGTTTTACACTTGGCAGACATGTAATATACAAAAAGGAATTTCAAGCTTATTTCAATTAAGTTTGAATTCTGAATAAAAATATCTTGCTTTCAAAAAACCCAACGCCTTTTGATCTAAATTTACACCCAATCAATCCCATTGAGCCGTTGTCTTTGAATATTATATATTGAAACTGCACTAACAGAATTCCTTTCGATTTGCATGATTGTTTGTGCTGCTTCCGATCAAACCACATTGGGTCTACCACGGGAAATCGAACCCCAGATTTTAGCGTTGTAAATCCGTAAACTTACCGCTGTCCATCCGGGGTGGGGGGGGGACTGCACTAATAGAGAATCTTTTTTCTGTCGTCATTCAAAAATTGCAATAGGAAGTTTAGCGCGTAATGTAATAATATCAGTCTGATGCTTTTATATATACTCGTTCTACAGGAAAGTAGACTAATTGGCACACATTCATAATGGAAAGCTTTTCCTTTGATTCTGAACTCGTATTCGCGCTTCACTTACCACACACACTATGGTCTCCATAAGTTATTGCTTAATTTTGGAATAAAATAGAATACACTTACGTCTATGTCCATTATCTCCTACGAGCAGGGCAACCCATACGGACAAACAAAAAACACGTTTCACGTTTTTACTTAAATAATATATTTCTTACACTCTTTTAGTTATAGTGTATATTTATACATTGATGCCTATCAATAAATCAAGCTGTGTTTTATTTTGTATTTTCGGACCCAAAGTGTTTGTTCTTTCACCTGAAAGACACCTCATGCGCACAATGAATAAAACGGCTAGGCCAAAGATCCTCGTGATTCAGACTTAACTGTCCCTAACCAATCTACAGCACTATCCGCCTGAAGTGGCTGCTCTTAACTAAATAACGGGATTGACTGTCACTCTTTACAGCTCACTCAGGGGCGGTTAGTATCACTATATGTCTCAGATCCGAGATCCTTGATCCCCATTTCAATATGTCAACCATGAGGCCACGATCCAAAGGCATCATGGAGCTTTTTTCTTTTTTGAGAGGGGCACAACCAAAAAATAAAGTACTTTTGTTATCAATAGTATGCTAATAATAATAATTACACAAATAATAAGTGGGGTGCCTTTACTTTACATATTATTAAATTTCCGCTGTTACTTTGGTTACTTTATTGGTTTCCAATAATCAAATGTTTATAGCTGGATTTAGGATTATTAATTAAAAAGTGTGTGGAAAGGGAGTCATGCCCACCGGTGGCCTATGGACACAACTCCATTTCCACGATCGGCCATGATCTAAAACTCTTAATCCGATCTTCTTCATCGGGATTCGGACCATGTTTTGGACCAGGGAGGGTAGACCTCTTCCTCCCTCTCTGGAATTGTTATTTTTTTTGCACTGTTACTGAATTCTAGGTAATAACGCTTGTTACATTGTTGCATTACTCACAGTATGTTAATATTTGTCCATTGTCCGCATTTGTAATTGATATATTTTTTCACAATGTAATTTTTACTATGTGATATCAATTAGCTCCAAAATATTTTTGAAAAATAGAAGAAAAAATCCCATTTAAAAACTGAAATAACTTGAAAAGTTATCACGTTTTATTCCAAGTTAGATAGGAATTTTTACCAGCAAGTAAGTGAATTTGAGGACTGTTTAGGTTGAGTATTATTTTAATGTAAGAATATTTAATTTAAGCTTTTAATCTTGCTCTTAACTCTCGTTATGTCCGCCAGTGGCACAATGGTATGTCTGCGGACTTATACCGCTAGAAACCGGGTTTCGATACCCCTGGTGGGCAGAGCACACATAAGCTCTTTGTGTAGCTTTGTGCTTAATAAGAAACAACAACAACTCTCGTTATTGCTATGTTTTTAATTTGGCGCCAAACTTCACGAGGACTAGCTGCATAAAACCATCCGTAATTATGAACTAATAGTCTAGAGGGAAGGACACTGATCAACAGCACTAACTACTAACTTTTGGACTACTCTTAAGTGACCGAATAGTGGTTCTTGACTGGCACTATTATAGAGCATCCATTACCCCAAATTGAAAAGGAACGCTTAAAAAAAAACACAGAAAAATTGCTTTAATCTACAAACATTCGAGTGCTACAAAAAGTCGAAAAAATAACTCTACTAGCTATAAAGTTTTAATTAACAGTAATTTAAAATTAATCTAGTTAAAACCTTTTATTGAATCAGTATTATTAATTTTTTGCTAGTGATTTTAAGGGTTAACTGTCACAGAAAAGACCCAGATACGAGAGACGAGCGACGAAAAATCGTAGCTTATTGGGTAGAAAAAATGGAGAGGGAAAGGAAAGGAGAATCAGTGTCCGTTTTGATGGATTGTTCCAGCTCTGGAATGGCGAATATGGTACGTTGTGATTTTATAGAACACGACTTTGTTATACTAGACTGTTTTAAACTTAGAATAAAAGCGGACAAGCTCTATCATGAAAGAGAGTACAGATAAATAATAGGAATTAATATCAACTTCCGAACAGAGCAAACTATTTATTTAGAACGATATCAATATAGCTCACGTTTCTATAAAGATTTGAATGAGTTGAGTGCCTTCGGTGTTAACGATATTTTCGGTCGTAATCCCAATAATAGCTCACGAAGTTAGGTAATATTTTATATTATTTATAGAAATGGCACAAAACTGTTATACGATGTGAAAATAATAATGTTAAGCGCAGTTTTGTTAGCCTTGAAGTGTTTTTTGTTGTTGTTAGAATTGTAAGATTTTAATACCAAGCAAGTGTTATATTTGTTCTTGTGCTACTATCCCTGATGAAACCGCAATGACAAAATATTAGCAGAAATGAAAAGGTTTTATTATTATTATTATAATCTGGAGAGTAAAGGTCGTTTTTTGTCTAACTTTATTGCCAAAATTATGACAACGAGTAAGAAAAAGAAACAAATATAATATATTAAAATGGTACCATATTGAGACCAATCGGAAGTACAACATTGGCTAAAAATAGAAAGTGTATTATAATATGTGTTAAAAAAAGAAGACAATATTTCTTGAGTTTTCCAAGTTTTACTTCTATTCATCATTTTTCAAGAACTTATATAAAGCGCAAACCAGTTAATAAATTTGTAACTGAAGGGTTACACCACGTCATTTGTATTTGCATTTGTGAATAATATAGTTACCTTGCAGAATAATATGAAAATTTAAGGTAAATCGAAAATAAAACAGAAATAAGATGACTCAAAATAAAATATAATATCATTATGTTTATATAATCAATCAAAGCTTTAAATGTATGAAGCGATCTAAAATTATTTTCAGAGACGATCATATCACTATCTAATATTTGCAGACAATTTTTTTGTTTATGTATTTCGCGCAAAGTTACACGAGGGCTATCTGTGCTAGCCGTCCCTAATTTAGCAGTGTAAGACTAGAGGGAAGGCAGCTAGTCATCACCACCCACCGCCAATTTTTGGGCTACTCTTTTACTAACGAATAGTGGGATTGACTGTCACATTATAACGCCCCCACGGCTGAAAGGACGAGCATGTTTGGTGTGACGGGGATTCGAACCCGCGACCCATAGATCGCGAGTCGAGCGCCCTAACCACCTGGCCATGCCGGGCCGATTTGCAGACTGAGGTGAAACTATTGGAGTAGTGACCGCTCCAAGATGGCGACCTCTTGACACGTTTTCGGAACCCAAGTGTCATATTTAGTTTATTATGTGTTATCTATGAATGGTTTATAACAAAACAGGTGTAGTATCACGTAACTAAGGATGTACTAAACATTTTTCCACTAATATATATATATATATAAGTTAACATTTCATTTCAAAACTTTGGTATGTTTGTTTCTATTTAATATCGATCTTACATATTTCTAATTTTAGTGTTACAAAGAGTATACAAGGTAGCGAAAAATAAATATTTATACTGTTTTGCAGGACGTGGACTTTACAATGTACTTGATGTCTTTATTTATAACCTACTATCCAGCGTTTATTGGTAAGTAATATTTAATTCCGCAGAAGACTTTTAGCTATCATTCTAAAATACGCTTTATGAATATGCTAACGTTAGGCTTAAAGTTGTAAACTCAGTCGCTGGTTTTAATATTCTCACTACTTTCGTCTCTCTCTCTTTTTTCTTTTTTGCCTTATTTTTCCCCTTTAATTCTATAAGAAACAATATCATTATTAAATACGAAAAATAGACAGGAATACGAGATAGGAAAAAGGGTACAATATTGAAACCAATAGGAAGTTCAGCATTAGGTAAAAATAGAAAATATTTATATATATATATATATGGTTGTTGGTTATGGAATTAAATCTCTTTTTAACTTAGCCGATATGTCTTTGTATGGAATAGCATGAATACCTGTTTCATTCTCCAGCTGTTTGAGGCATGTGATGGTTGAAAGTGAAGTATAACTGCATGGAAGTGACTCGGCGACTTATCAGTTATACTTTCTTACAGTTAGAATATTGGTTGAAAGAGAACATATCACTATCTAATATTTGAAGACAGAGGGGAAACTACTGGAGTAGTGACCGCTCCAAGATGGCGACCTCTTGACACATCTGTCCCTCTGGAAGCATTAACTTGGTGATAAGCACTGTGACTTATCAGTTATACTTTCTTACAGTTAGAATATTGGTTGAAAGAGAGAGGTATGACTGAAAGCATTAACTTGGTGACAAGGACCGTGATTTATTTATTTATTATTATTATTTGTATTTCGTTTTACGATAAAAACGAAAATGTGTTCACCCGAGCAATATACATTGCAGACTTTTATTTATTTTCGACCTAGAGCTCAGTTTATTACTTTAGTTTTTGCTGCAAAATTTTTATAATAGTTATTCTTCAGCTAGTTTTACTTATATATCCGTTTACAAGGCTTAGTTAGCTACGAGTCTCAAACGAAGTAGTTATTTTTTCATTCTATGAATCTCTATATAGAGTACTAGAAAATATAGATGAATATATATTTTTTCAGAACTATTTTGTACTTTTCTCTCAAATTTTTTTCAGACCACATTTATGTATTTGAAATGCCATGGATAATGAACGGTAAGTGTTTTTTACAAATACTTTTTTTTGTTTGTTTTTAATTATGCACAAAGCTACACAAGGGCTATCTGTGCTCTGCCCACCACGGGTATCGAAACCCGGTTTCTAGCGTTGTAAGTCCGCAGACATACCGCTGTGCCACTGGGGGACATTTAGTTTGTTTACTCTAATTGTATTGTGTCTGTCCCTCGGTGGGACGGCGGTAAGTCACCTTACAACCTTAAAATCCGGGGTTCGATTCCCGCGGTGGACACGGCAGGTAGCTCAATACGGCTGTGCCTTCCATAATTGCTAGTTCAAAATGAAAACTATGTACAGTGTAACTATCAGTATAGATAGGTAACTAACTGTGGGAAGGAGTTGTAAAACTACTGCACGAAATATCTGTTGAATGAATGTCCGATCAAAAGTTATTGTTAGAGTAAAGGAAAGTTAATCAGAAGTAACCGCTTCAAAACGTTCTAGTACAGAGTCGTTATTTTATTATTCTTTATCATTTAGTCCCTTTTGTTATTTAGTTTATTCTGCTAAATTTCAATTAATAAAACAGTAAATATTCTAATATATGTATATATATAGAATATACAAAGACTTCAGTTTGGTTTGGTTTGAATTTCGCACAAAGCTACTCGAGGGTTATCTACGCTAGTCGTCACTAATTTAGCAGTGAAAGACATGGGGAGAAAAGCAGCTAGTCATCACCACACACCGCCAACTCTTGGGCTACCCCTTTTACTAACGAATAGTAGGATTCACCGTCACATTATAACGTTCCCACGACTGAAAGAGCGAGCATGTTTGGTGGGACGGGGATTCGAACCTGCGACCCGCAGTAATACTGTTTAGATGAATAATCTTTAATGACATATATTGCATATAATAGCTCATGTCTGTTGATACAGATACTTTGCAACTTATATCTTAGTTAAACTTTGTAACTGACTGGCATAAGTCTAATAGGCCTAAAACGTTTTTACATTACTTTGATCACTGATATTACGTTTTAGGCCTGGTGGTTAGGGCGCTTGACTCGCAATGTGGGGATCGCAACCCGTCTACGAACATACTCGCCCTTTCAGCTGTGGGTACGTTATAAAGTTACGGTCAATCCCACTATTCGTTAGTAAAAGAATAGCCCAACAGTTGGCGGTGGGTGTTGTTGTTGACTAGATTTATTCTTTCTAGTCTACCACTTCAAAATTAGGGACAGTTAACGCATATGTTCCTCGAGTTTAGCTTTGGGTGAAAACTCAACAAACAAACAGAAATTTTGTTCTTTATGTCATGTGAAATCTGTTTATTTGTTTTGAATCATATGTAACATGGTTTTAAAATATTTGATCACATCCATTACGTTCTTGAGATCATGTGAAATCTGTTTATTTGTTTTGGATCATATGTAACATGGTTTTAAAATATTTGATCACAACCATTACGTTCTTGAGGTCATATGAAATTTGTTTATTTGTTTTGGATAATATGTAACATGGTTTTAAAATATTTGATGACAACCATTACGTTCTTGAGGTCATATGAAATTTGTTTATTTGTTTTGAATCATATGTAACATGGTTTTAAAATATTTGATCACATCCATTACGTTCTTGAGGTCATATGAAATTTGTTTCCTGGTTTTGGTTACTTGAAGTTAACAATAACACTTTGAATAGCATGTTGGAAGATCATCAAGAAAATGATTTCCAGCAGCACAGCAGAGAGGATTAAGTTTCTGACAAAAACTTCATTCACCGAATACTTGAATCCAGAGGAGCTTCCCCCCCACTTAGGCGGAACGGTAAACACCTATTTTTTTATGTTGTTTTATCATAGATATCGGAATTATCTGATAAAAAATGATAGAAATAATTAAACACAAATTGTGTCATAAAAGTACAGGACATTAGTAAATACTGTTGTGGTTTGATTCTTTGGTTTTAACACATTAATAAATACTGTGGTTTGATTCTTTGGTTTTAATATTTATTAATGTGTTATAATCAAAGAATCAAACCACAGTATTTATTAATGTGTTATAATCAAACCACAGTATTTATTCATGTGTTAAAACCAAAGAATCAAACCACAGTATTTATTCATGTGTTAAAACCAAAGAATCAAACCACAGTATTTATTCATGTGTTAAAACCAAAGAATCAAACCACAGTATTTATTCATGTGTTAAAACCAAAGAATCAAACCACAGTATTTATTCATGTGTTAAAACCAAATAATCAAACCACCAATTTCTACATAAATGCACCCCCCCCCCAGTGGCGCTGCGGTATGTCCGCGGACTTATACTGCTAGAAACCGGGTTTCGATACCCGTGGTGGGCAGAGCACAGATAGCCCTTTTATAGCTTTGTGCTTAATAACAAACAACAACAATTTCTGTATAAATAATATTATCAACAGCAAATACTTTATTAAAAAAGCTCAATCTTTTACTGGACCTTAACTAAATAAATATAACGAAGATATACTTATATATTTCGGACTGTGTATTGGATTTTTAGTCTGGTGTGAAGCGTTGCAAGAAAAAAAACGTGTTTAAAATAACTAGAGTGAACCATATGATTAATGGATTACATATGACTTGGTATTATACATAGTGCATGTTATATGATTAAAATAACTAGAGTGAACCATATGATTAACGCATTACATATGACTTGGTATTATACATAGTGCATGTTATATGATTAAAATAACTAGAGTGAACCATATGATTAATGCATTACATATGACTTGGTATTATACATAGTGCATGTTATATGATTAAAATAACTAGAGTGAACCATATGATTAATGCATTACATATGACTTGGTATTATACATAGTGCATGATTAATATCTTCTACACGTTTATTGTATTCTCTATAATAAGCGTGTTTTATATCGATAGTGTATGTCGTATGGTTCTTTGTGTTAATGTTTAATTTATGGATCCAGGTAAAATAATACAAATTCTGGGCATCGGATTACAATTTCACATACAGCTGAGAATTGTGTAGTTTTTCTGTTTCCAAATGCTTTTATATGGCATAAAAAGGCAGGTGAAAGTGAAAAGAAAGTGTATTATCTCTAGGCAATCAGCTGTTACCAGACACGTGATAAAGTAAAAAAAAAATCCCCTTTTCAGCTAGGGTGCCTTTCGGGCAGACATTTTAAGGTCAGTTGGTACTTGGAAAGTACTTGTCAAAAATATTGCCTTGAGTAGACCTTAAAAATAGCTATGTAGGTCAAGGCGATTGCACCTATACAAGTGAAGATACGTGTTCATTTGCTGTGTATGATTCGAGATAATAAAAAGTGGCTGTTAAGGACAGTGAAAGTGAAAGAATCGTTATCAACGAATCATGTTCAAGGAGACGAAGTTGACAGAATTTTCAATATTTGTTTTAAGAAACATGTGAAGTTGTGTAATTCAGTTAGAAATAAGGGATGTTAAATACGATCTTCGGTCAGACAAACTATATGTGCTATGAAGGTTGTTAGTTTTTTAGAACTTTATATTTTATTTAACATTTTCTTTAATTACTGCCTTGTCGCCCCCAAGTGGCACAGCGGTATATCTGCGGACTTACAATGCTATAATCCGGGTTTCGATACACGTGGTGGGCAGAGCACAGATAGCTCATTGTGCTTAACTTTAAACAAACAAACAATTTTTTTTTTCCACCTAACTATTTGTTCTACTTAAAAGCTGTTAATTAGACGACGTTTCCAATAATGTACGTATGATCCATATCTGACACGAAACAGAATCATAATGAGGCAAGTTTTTCCATTTCGACAACTTTCATCTGTTCGCCACCTGCTAAATACTTATCAAACAATAACACTAGCATGGAGATTTGCAGACTTCTGAGGATCGTTTATACGAACTGGTCTTTTATTTTGTTTTCACTCAGTGTCTAAAGAAATACAGGCCATCAAACCATTTGACTTGTACAGGTGAAGAAGAACATCTTAATGGAGTGACTATATGAACCGGAAGTGAAGAAAAGAACAAAAATTCTCGTCTCTTCAGGGAGTAAAAAATAAATAAATGATGAAAAAATAAAAATTTTTGACAATCTTATTAAATATTCAGACTTTTTTCACGTGTGTTTGTGATCCAACCCTAAATGTTAATCATACCCATTATTATTTTTTCTATTAAAAAAAAACTAAATTGTATTGATTCTGCACGTCGTATCTGGTTCCAGTGTCTAGTTAATATTTCACACTGAACATATTGTACATATTTATATTATGACTGAAAATAAAAGTATGATAAAGCAGTCAACAGAAATGATCATTTATTTAAATAGGTTGATTTTTACGTGTCTTAAAAAACATTGTAATTTCTTTATTATAAAAAAAAATGATTTGTGCTTTATAGCTAAACATGCGACACATGTGTTAAACAGCCAGATTAGAAACCTAAAAATTTTAGGCATAGTCGCCTCTAATTTTGAACTACTGACCAGAAAGAGGGAAGCCAATCAGCAACACCTGCTGCATGTGTGACTACGTTTCAACCAATTAGCAGGATTGCTAGTCTCCCGAGAGTGCAGAGCGTGCTTAGTGGCATATCGCGTGCTCGGACGTTGGATCTCAACAGAACATACTCAGTCTATTTTAAAACAGGTAGTTTTCCTAAAGAGAAAATAAAATATGCGGGAAAGTATTATAATTACATTAACAATGATTTTATCTGTTCCAAATAGGTAAGGACTTGCATGGCCTGGTGGTTAGAGCATTCGACTTATAGTCTGTGGACCGTGGGTTCGTATCCTATCACTGAACATGCTCGCTCTTTCAGCCGTAGGAGCGTTATATTGTAACGACCAATCCTATTTTTCGTTATTAAAGAGCAGCCCAAAAATTGGCGGTGCATGGTGTTGACAAGCTGCCTTCCCTCTGGTCTAATACTTTTAAATTAGGAACGGCTAGAGCAGATAGCCCTCTAATAGCTTTGGACAAAATTAAACAAACAAACAAAATCTGAATATATATATATAGTAAACGTAAATGTATTTTACGTAATGATACCTTAAACGCAGGATGCCGTGAAAGTTGTTGTCTCGAAAAGCTTAAAAAAAACAAAAAACGAAACGCAAATCAACACAAAATCCTTAACTCCATTTTACCCTTAGAGGATAAGACGTTTACCCTGAATAGATTTTTCACATAAAATTGATAGAAAGATCAAAGCTTCACATTTATCGTCTGAATTAGGTTTCTCGCTAAACACGCGTTCTATTTACAAATGAGGTAAAAAAAAAAAGCGAGTCAGGAATGGCCTAGTATTTAGCGAGCGAGCCTGTAATACAAGGGTTCATGACTGGTATCCGGTTTCCGCAAAGGCGCGTTCCGTACTTTGGAGCCAAAGGTGCTCTATTACAGTGAAGGTCAAATGTCACTATTCGGTTAGACCAGAGTAGCTCAAGAGTGGACGATTGATGCTCTTAACTGACACCTTCCTTCTAGTGTATGACTTCAAAAATTTTCTAGCTATGCAAAACATTTCAGAAAAAAGTAAATAAGCAGGAAAGAGTCAGTTTTATCGATATCAAATAACACAAAAAATGTTGTTGTTTTCAAAGAAATAACACTTCGAAAAAAAAATGCATATTAAATCTAAAATCGCTTTTAAACTTGTATCTCGAAACTGTGGTGTCTACCAAATTCTTCTAATGTATATATTGTTGCGTCAACGAGTCACGTGACCACTGTGGCGCCCTCTA